TATATTTGGAGGATGAAGAAACATAAGCTTAGAGACAGTAATATGTTTTAAAATACATACTACAAAACTAGTTCACTACCAGTTTGATATCATTTGTACCTAGTTACAATGGATGATGAAACTACTTATAAATTATCTGCTCTGCCATTATGTATATATGTACAGAAGTCTAAGACGAAGAAAGGAAAGAATTTTTAACATATACATATAAACACATCAATCTCAGCTTTTGACACTTATTAACCTAAGCTTGGAGTGCAATGTACATATATATAAATGCAAAAAAGTCAAGGGTCTTTAACCATCAATGTTTTAAATATAAACACAAATTAATTTGCTCATGTATTTCTAAATAATAAAACAAGAAATATGAAAACATTATTAAGTTATAATAAAGCCATACTTAAAGTTATTAACATACTTAAAGTTATTAACAAAACTGAAGAAACATTACCAGAGAGACATCTGAATCTTAAAAATAAAAGCCACTTCAAACAACCATAGAACCAAATCTAACTAACCTCTTGAAAAATTGGTAAAGCGGAATAAGATGCAAAAAGCAGAGCTGACAAGCTTCTAGACTGAAAAGGTTTAGAATAAGTAGCATAGCATTACTTCCTAAGAGTTCCAGCACAGCAAAATTAAGAAGAGACAGCAAATTTCAGCCAAATTTATAAGAAATTTTTTTTTAATTAACAAAACAAAAAGATTCCCTAATCCATTTGTAAGAAGAATGTGGATGCTGTGAACATAAAATCTAAAAGAGTAAACAGATCCAGAGAATTTAATTAATTATTTCTATAAGAATCTAAAAAGAACTATTCTTCTATTTTTGGAGCATTTAATCAGATCACAGAGGAACAGATGAACCTTTCATTTGGAAGACAGCAAGGACCATTAATATAGGTTTTTAACAACAACATGGCAGATAAGGAATGGCAATCCCTGTAGATATCTGCAGCCACATAAACCATGAAACTGCAATTTACATTAAGATCAACACTGCGGTTACATATTTATCCTACAGTAGACAAAAGACCATTAAGACATTGTATTTAAAACTACAATGCCCTTGGAAAAGGGTATTTTCGTTCTGTTTTATATAAATACAACTTGATATCTGACAAAAAGGTGTACCACAAATAAATTTATATTCAGAATGACAACCTAAACTGTTACCACTTCACTATTGCTTTTGCTCTATTTGCATTAACTCTGATCACAGCAACTGCACACAAACCTCCAACAACACATGCACAGAACAAAGTCTAGAAGGAATGCAAGACTTGCTTTATGGGAGCAATAAGTTGCTTCATATTTAAGACTCATTGTGCTAAAGCAGTAATATTTCATATGAACAGATATTGCTTCATTTTTTGGATATGAAAGAAGAATTTGCTATAAAGTAAACACACTTCCAAAATAGTCAATTAGATTATACAGAAAATTGCAGCATAAGAAAATTTAAAAAGGCTTTTCAGTATATCACACTATTCTAGGTAGAACCTAAAAATTAGCCAGTGTTTTTAAAAAGTTACTAGAACAAAGAAACTTTCATTAACTCATTAAACTGTAATAGTTATTTCAAGCTGTCCTACCATGTATATCATGCAGAAGACACCAAGAGCTTGACAAGCTCTTCTCACATCATCTCACGACAGCAAGAGGCCTCAGGCAAGCACAATTGTATTATATAAGCCTTCTAAAATTTCAAGCAACAGATTCCTGAACACACTGGTAGCTAAAATCACCTAGCTTAATGGAAGAAGGTGTGGAATAACACAGAATGAAGAACAATATAAATATTTCTCAAAGACAGATTATTTGGTTTACTAAAAAATAAGCAAATATTTAAAACCTCAAGCCCAAAATATTCTGCTTACTTAGAGAAAGGATAGCAATTCCAAAAACAATTTCAATCTCTCTGCCAAAATAATTAATAGAAAATCAAATTAAGAGTTCCCTACAAACAGTAACTCTTTTTATCCAACATCCACCAGACACATGGTCAATACGCATGAGGCTGCACAGACAAGTGGATGATAATTGGTGAAGTGGCTGGCAATATAAACTGAGATCCTATTGTTTTCCTACTTGCTTACTTCAAAGAAGTTTGTTCTGTGACAAGACATTATTATCTTTCTTGTAATTAGTGCTAAACTGTCCAATCACAGAAGAAATAAAGTCTCCTAATCATTCAACACATGGAAAATTAATGTGTTGAACATTCTTAGTGACAGATTATCTGCATTGTCAGAAACAGAGCTAAAAGATGGTCAGACCGTTAGAACTACATATGTCAGTCCCAGCTTCCAAATACAACAGATACCTGCAGCAAACAAAATTAGATTTCTAGCCAAGAATATGAACCAATTCATTTAAATATTAATATAGTCCCTTTTGTGTGTGTATGTATATGTATGTGATGGTGCAATATCTCTATCTGATAACAAGACCTTACTCTTATTTTAGAAAACAAATTGAACTGCAAAATGTTTCCTTTGCAAAGATTCTACCACTTCAGCATCACCTAATAACCATGACACATTAATTTTTAACAGCATTTAAAAAATGAGCTTTTCGTTTTGAAGACCAAAAGTGCTGTAGTACCAATTGTCTTACAAACAACACACATTCACAAGGACTGAAGCAATGAGTACATGAGTAGTTGTACATTCAACTAACTGTAGAAGGATCTGTACTTCACTGCAAAGTAACTGAGTCATACACAGGCACTACTGGTGCTGTACCTTAGAAAGGTGACACAAGCTGAAAAACTCACAGGCTACTGCACCGAACAGAAAAAGGGATACGGAAGGTATCAGAGGGTCCCCCTTAGAACAATAAGCACAAGTATCCCTACTGTGTATCCCAGCCAAACTCATTCAGGGTACAGAGACCTACAATCTCCTCTCACCTTCCATTAGGAAGAGCAGCCACTGCCATAATGCCTTCAAAAAACATCAACATTCACTTAGATCAAATTTGAACACTCCATTTTCTTTTTCAGCCTCATTGTAATTATACATATTTTTAAAAACAATAAGAGGTTTTAAAACCATATTTTTAAAACCAACATCAGACATTTTCTTATATTCTATTTCTTATCCGGTAAGAGCTAATACTCCCTTGCCGATTTCTCATGTGGGCACAGATGACACCAAGGGTAATAGGAACCATCACATTCAATATCAGGGCTCTGGAGACAAGGGTCTGGAGGCCCCGGTAGTCTTTTCCTTAATTATGCCAGTTTGGGTAAATGATGAGAGGAGAAGTAGATGGATACAAAGTAAACTGGCTGCACCACTGGTGCTGGCAACAAGGTTTTGGTTTAGAACTCTGCTGATTGGAACCCACCTCTTGAAACAGGTCACATAAGCCTTTGCCAACAGAATGCCCAACCTGGTAAAGTGAGTGTTGAACTAGGAGAAGTGGGAGAAGAGAAAAGGACTGTGTGACATTCCCTTGCACCCCTACTGAAAAACAGACACACTCAAATACCTCTGTGAAGTGCTGGCACACCAATGAAGGCAGTATAGGGAACAAGCAGCAGAACTTTGAGATCTCTGTGCAGTCACAAGGCTTTGATCTCATTGCAATTACCAAGACATGATGGGGCAGCTCATACAACTGGAATGTCACAGGGAAGGGCTACAACTGTTTAGAGCAGATAGACCTGGAAGCCACAGTGGTGCAGCTGCCATACTTCATTTAACTATCAGTCCATGACACTGTAATTTCTAAAGCAGTGGTAGAAGCCATGAGGAAAAATTTATCAAATTTACTGCGCTCAATTAATTGTCTTCTGATGCTTCTGAGACCAAACCTATACCTAACACCGATGTCCAGTTATGGTAACAAGTTATCAGGTCTAAAAACCATTACCAAAGCCCTTCACTGATAAGATATCCAAGCAACCTGGTTCCGAGCACAAGGAAGAAATTAAAAACTGTCTCTTTCTTGAGTAATGCATCTTCTGAATCCCGAAAATTACCTTAAATGTCCTTTTTCCTTTGGAAATTAACTGGCAATCTCAGAAATATAGACAAAGCAGGGTTCCCCTTTCAGAACCTTCATTCTATTCTTTGCTGATAAATAGAATACTTCCACAAAAGCAAAAGCAGACTGAAGTAAAGCATTTTCTGCCTACTTCCAACTTCAAATCCTGCCAAGACAACAAACTCTTATCTAGATTCTCATCTCACTGTCAAAAAGAAAGAGCTATCAAAACAGGAACAAAGTCTACCCAAGGAATAAAGTAATACCAAAAGCTTCCAGATATTTCCACTACTTTCAAGACATAATAAATTACTACATCTATCCAACTGAAAACAGTAACAAAAAAAAAAAAAAAAAAAGAAAACCTTAACAAAAGGGCAAACTATCAGCACACTTCAAACTGAATCCTGACAATAATAATACGGCAGTAGGAGGAAAAGGAAACAGATTCACAAGACAGTAAACAGAAACCCCTTCCATTATTAGCTTCACTCACATCTAATATGCAAAATTATTTACTTTCAGATTTTAATTTTTAAATCACTCAAACCAAGGCTGGGTTCAGTCTTCTCAGAAGGACAACCTAAATACTTAGAATGATCAGGGATCACACCTTGACAACAAATGTCAAGCTTCACATAACAGCTGAGACTAATTGCTTTTAATGTTTTGATAATTCAAATGCAGACTTATGTTCAGATTCTCTTAATATTAGGTGATTTAAATTTGGAAAATTCAACCTATTAGAGCTCAATGAACTCATGTTACATAAAGGGGTTTTTGTACAAAAATAGCAATAGACATGCATTTTTTCCTATTAAATTCTGTCACACAATTCACAAAATATAAGAGCTCATTCTTTCTTTAGAGTTGAAAGAATAAAAATATATTTTTCTTCAACTAAGGTCTGACAAACCTCACCAACAAAAACAGGCACAACTGGAGAACCTGGAAAAGAATTACCTGTAAAATCAAATCAGCACTATCTGTGAGTATCTTACCTTTAAATAGGATCCATAATATTTAGTTACATATGGACTGTCACACTGACTCAAAACCGTGATTTCTTGTTGGATGTCTTCTATTTCATCTTCTGCTTCTTCTAGGTCAATAATTTTTATAGCAACAACCTTTTGAGTCCGATTGTCAATTCCTTTAAAAACTTCACCAAAAGACCCCTTACCAATTCTTTCCAGTTTTGTAAATAGTTCTTCTGGATCTGCCTTCAGAGTCTGTTAAAAATAAATATAAAGAGAAAAGTTGCTCAGTATTTGTAATAAAATGTGGTATTTTTAAAGGCAACAAACACTTCCAATTCTGCATATTCCTATTTATCTAGCTACCTTTTTCTACCTCCATAATGGTCATGTTCTTTCTAAATCCCTTAGATGCACACATTGATGCATTTATGTTTCGCTGCATATAAAGAACAAATTTAATACTGTCCATGTGTCAGGGGTTTATCCTATTTGGCAACAGAAAATGTTGCCATCTCAATTTCTTTTTTTTTGCCCATAAATAGAATCCAGAATGAAAGATCATTACAAAGATTTGGTTTTTATTAAAAGCAAATAGATCAAACACCACTACCAATAAAAGTAAGCCTTCAGTCTAACCTTTTTTCTTTAAATTGTTTCCCTCCTAGATCTCAAAATCCCTCTTTCATATTTGTCTTGTATCTCCTCCTCCTAAGGATTTCATTCACTTTCTTCAGTGCACAGAGCACTACTTCCTTTTGTTTGTGTGAAAAACAATCCTTCTTCAATTTTCTCCTACTAAGGATCACCTGCATGAATAGCCATGCTTCCTCCTTCTCCTTGATGCCAAGGTTTTCTCAAAGAGGATTTATTTTTCTTCTTCTCTCAGTTGCGTAGTCATTCACTTCTTTAAAACATCCTGTTTCCAGCTTTCTTGAACAGTCACATAAAAGCTACAAGTGCTCGCCTAAACATGTAAATGTAGGACTTAACACTGCCACATTTGGTTTTTCTCCACTACTAAGTATTCAGCTCATTACTGCTGCTCAGACTTCTCATTTCCAGTGCACAGATGGTCAGTTCCACAGTATACCTTCTTAATCTAACATGGAGCATGGAGCCTCACTAGCTAACAAAACATACATACATTACAACTACAGGCAGGTTGGACTGTATGATCTGTAAAGGTCTCTTCCAGTCCAAACTGTTCTATGATTAAACTGGAAAAGTCAGAAATAGAGGGAATAGTCATAAATGAAGAAAGACAGGATTACTTAGAAACCTGTCCTTAAGAAATAAAATTAACACTTTAAAAGGATGGCACTCATGCTAGCTAAGTGAAAATATGTCATTGATATAGAAAAAGGCTCATAGAAGAAGCATTCAGTAATACCTAAATAAGCAGAAAACCACAGTTTATACTTAGCCCGTGTAGTAGTATGAAGAGGGGAATGAGAATTTCTAAGTTACCACTGACAAACACTGAAACAACATTTTCTTTAACAATTAAATTTAGCTTATAAAGCACCTCCCACCTACACTTTTATATTCTCACATCTCAAAGTTATATAATTAACCCATACAGCTGCAAGAGGAAGATAACCTAGAACACACTTTCTCTGGAGGTATCTAAATTTCACAGCTGAAAGAGGTGTTTTGAGGACCAGGTAGCTGGGACTGACTGAACCCAAAGATAAACCCACTTGGTTCTCAAAGCATTTTATCATCATCTGGCACAAACTGGGAGTACACAACAACTTTTAGAACTTTAAAGTCAGCTATAAGACATCACAGCTTTCAAATAATCATTCCAGGGACACATCACTGGTGAGATCAGCCCAAAGCAAAACCACTAAGTGTACCTACTGCAAGACTTCACCAGTCGCAAGAAATTCCCCGTTTTCCATCTTACTGATCCATCCTTTTATCCAAAGTCAGTTTTGGGAAACAAACAGAAGAGCATGCGTTATATCACCCTTTTGACATTAAAGGAACGGAGCAAAAGATCCACATCCCTTCCACCAAAAGCAGCTCATTCCTCCTTTAGTTTCTATGTAATGAGAACAACATACCATTACACACCATTAAATATTACATACATAATATATCTATATATGTGTGTGTGTATATCTATATATATATATATATATATATATATATATATATATATATATATATATATAATCTCCCACTTGGACACCAGACCAGGGCACTTCATGTTTCCCCAAAGTCATCCCTTAGCTGCACAGTAACCCTTACCAATACTTTCAGGGACATAATTTCTAAGAGATCACAAAACTACAAACCAAATTGTGCTTACTGATTCTTCTCATGCCTCACAGAATGCTCGGCTGTCAATATTTAAACCAGTCTTCTCTGAGAACTCTTCATGAATAAAAATAACCTTAACAACAGCATCAGATACTTTCCCTTGTGGAAAACAATTATCCATCTACGCTTTCATACATCCTGTGTCACAATTTGAGATGATGTGCTGTAGAGAGTTGTGCATGCCTAATCCAACCACATAAGCCTTCTAGTTCCATTCACTAGCCACAGGCATCTGAGCATTACATCATTAGAAAGGCATCTGGGTAAGCCACAAACCAATCTCAGTTGCAGCTGCCTAAAACATTCAATGTTTCACCTCCTGAGACTAAAAAGCCAGCACTGCTCAGTTGCAGTGCACTGCAGTTGCTCGTATGGAGAAAACGTAAGAGCTACCTGCCAGCAGCTTTTTTAAGTTCTGCTGGCTGTATGTATACACCCCCTATTTTCCCTTTTCCCATTAACAATCTATGAACTATCACTGTTCACTTGAATTATTGTAATCAAATTTTTGTAGCCATTTTGAAATGTTAATTGTTCAATAATAAATAACACGACTTCACGGGATCAAAATCATTATCAATAATAATGTTATTTCAGAAGTTTCTTGTGAAATGACTCATTATTGAAACAAATAAACCCTTCCTTCCCAGTTTACAACTTTTGTAAATTAATTCCTTTCTTCTACAATGGCAATTGTTAAGTTGCCATTCCTGAATTTTCTTCTGAGCAACAGGAGGTAGCAGTTGTTTCAAACAATGCAAACACACTCTTGCCCTGTAAGAAGGTCTCCAATTTCTTCTCAGAACATCAGCTGTTTGAAGTGAGAGCCTTAAACCACTGGAAACCTGTGTTTTTACAAAAACTAAGAGTTGGTTTCTTTAATGACCTGCTGTCTTTCAAAAATATAGTGATTAGGCCTCCAACTACATAATGAACTACTTGAATCTGAAAGTACTTGAGTGGCCAATTCCCACCCATTTTTCCAAGATCACATCTGGAAAGGATTCTTGCCAAATTTGTTTTTCCTTGGTTTTGTAAATACTTCAAACAGAGACAAAATAAACAAATAGCTTAATAAATATTCTCTCTACACAACTATGTAGAGAAAATTACTTCCACAGACACTGCCACTATGGTTTTGTTGACTATATTCTTTGCAAACTTTTACTAAGCATAGAGTTTATTCCTACTAATAGTAAAATAATGGGAACTGATAAAAGAACCATCATGTAACGGAGCACATCAAATATTGGTAGAAACCACAGATTAGAACACCAATATCTGCTGCAAATGGGTAAAGCTAATCACCTTGATCAAGAGCTAGATCTCTACCATTATAACATTTTTTTCAAAGCTTATCACAGAATACATACTGCAACAAATCAAAAACAAATAATGGAGCATTCAGATTGAACGACTCCTGAACTTTCAATTTCCACAGACACTTGAATTACTTTGCTTTTTATTTCAAATAGTTTTTCACACTTCTTAACATAAACTGCGACCATCTTATCTCACTGTCCAGCTTGTTCAGCCATGTAGAACAAAGTCCTTTTCACCATAAGCAAAGCCACCATTCACCCAATAATTTGAGTAATCTCTCTGTACTTGTTCCACATTGGATTCATTACTTTTGACCTTAATCAGCCAGAAAAACATATTCCATTTCAAATTAACTCTTCTTAGTACCTAACAACACTGTTGCCTGCTTCTACAAAATAAAAACAGTCCGATACATTCTCAGATCCTATTTGTTCAATTTGGCGTCGTGGCTCAAACTCAGCTGCAGCCAAATAAACCAAATTGCCTATTCCTAATGCTCTGCATTTCCAACTAATGAGCTCCTAGATTTTTGCAAAGGCTATTTGTAATTCTCATACTTAAAATAAGCTGCACTTTATGCTCTTTTGTTCAGTAATTCCAATCCCCATGGTTGCACAGCTCTTCAGCACTGCCTCTCACATGTAACAGGTGCCTTTAAATTTTGTCTTTTTCAGACATTGCCTTTTTCTATGCAAAGGTCACTTTTCAGTCAGCAACTGTCAAGAACAGTCCTGGAGAAACCAGCAGTATCACCCACTCAGACACCACCTCTGCAGTAGCCTCTTCACAGTCAGGATTACACACATCTTGTAACATATTTATTTTTATGAATCCCCAATTCTTATGCACACTAACTGTCCCTTAAAGTTCAATAGAAAATATTACTGTAATTCAAACTAGTTAGATCCAACTTTACCCATAACCATTCTGAGAGAAGATACAGCTTTGAGTCTTTTTCCACATCTCACTCAGTTTTATTTCTAACCTATTTTTATGAAGAATCGTTCCAGTTATTGTAGAAGGCATTAAAAATATTTCTCTTTAATTTAGAAGAATTTAAAGCATCTCCATAATTCAAGTTCTTAAGATTAACTGTGCAACTGATTGTATTTGCAGATCTGTTATTTCTCTATGCAGCTCACTTGAAATATCAATCATCTTTTAACATTTCATTTTGTAAACTTTTCATTTCACCAAATCAATTTCCAATTTTTTAGTCCAATTCTCATTCCCTATCAAGACTGAGCCCAAAGTATGATAATCTGAAGAGGTTCAGAGATTTCTGGGGATATTTTAGCTTGGAAAAGAGAAGCCTGGGGAGATGAAAATCTTACTGTGTGTGAATACTTGATGGAAAGGAATAAAGAACACAAGGCCAGGCTCTTCTCTGTGGCATCCAGCAGAAAAACAAGTTGCAATCGCCAGAAATTGAGTTATAGGATACTTCATCTAAACTTCAAAAAATAAAAGAGGAAAAGAAAAAAAAAGGAAAAAACGAAACAAAACCCACCAAAACAGAACAACCACAAAGCTAAAAACCCAGCCTTTCTTAATATAAAGATAATGCTGCATTAGATTAGGGCTGCCCAGGCAGGTTGTGG